TACCCATATACATTCATCCACATTTTATAAATTTCAATGTGGCAACTATATTGCATATTTTCATACATAATATACGCTTATTTATATGTAATTTAACACTAATATGAAATTCCAAATTTCTCTCTTATTTATTCTCACAAATTTATTTAAAATAAAGTTGAGTAAAACTAATGGTTTGTAATGTAACACTTTTCCCTTCAACAATTGAAAATACTGCTTTTAAAACTCTATGTACTATGTATATCATTAAAATATTACTTTCATTCACATACGAAACTATTTCAAGGATTGCATACACCCAGGATGAACACTTTATGCAGTCTTTGAAAATAAAGCAAAAAAAAATTAAGGAGGTGTTAACATAATGGTATGGAATTTACCGTTAACTTTTTGCGTTTATAAAAGTTTGGAAAAGCTTGCAGTTTCCGAAATATAATGTGCCAAAAATTCAAATTTTATAAAATTTCGATAGGCGATAACTTGAGAGGAGGTGGAGGTGGAAAAAAATTTTCTTTTAACGTAATGAACTATTTTTTAATGTCTAAAAGCCGTTAATATTTCGGACTCTTACGACCTGGGATCTAGAAGATAAACGACATCAAAAATTTATAAAAAAACGGTTTTAAATAACGGAAAATTTTAACTTTTTTGTCTATGCAAAATTTGAAATACGCTTATGGTTTCATTGCAATAAATAGTTTCGAAAATGGCATTTTCAGGGTTTTGGGGTTTCGGGGAGATAGGTAAACATACTAGGTAAGATAGGTAAGTTTCTAGCAAAAATCTACTCATATATAAAATTTTCAGCTTTCCGTACTTAAAGGTGTGAAAATTTTGTAAAAAGATACATGAACAAGCAGACGAAAGGGCAAATTGAAGCTAATAAGCCCTTTTTTTTAAGTTTTTTGGAAAAGTGCTAAAAGTGACACAAAGTATATAGGTATTTGAAGATTAAAGTTGTGTTATTTGTTTATTAAAAGTTCTAATTGTAAGGAAAATACAATTGGAAAGCCATTATAAAAGAAAGAAATTCAACTAAAATTATGATTGTAGCACGTGTTAATTCCACTATCGTAGAAGGAAAATCTTACACTATTGTAGCAAATGTGACGTTTTCAATAAAGAGAAGTAAATTGAAACGCTATGGTATGCTCCACTAAATTGTGATACTCTTTACTTGCGTATATTCATTATCTAAAAATGTTCCTTTTATAAGAATAAAATCCAAAATCCTTGTATTATGTCGAATTTAAAAATTGTTACCTATAACTGTGTTTTTCGTGTGTTGTGTTACCTATAACTTTGTTTTTCTCCTCTATAAATTTTTTATAAACGGACAGAGGCCCGTACCCGTGAGCTCTTCTCACGTCGACCGATAGGATCTTTTGTGATTCCTATCCCCGCCTACATTAGCTCTAAGTCAGGGTTTCTTTTTTCATTCATGAACGATTTACCAAAAAATTCGCTGAAGGGGTTTTCAGATATTTGAATTTCCAAAATATACATATATTTATATTTATAAATTCAAAGCTGATGTGACAGCTCAACCGACCGCAATGTGTATTGTCTAGTTAAGTGAAAGTGTTACAGAATATTATAAAAATGTCTGTTAAATACTTCTTTCCAATTTTTAGGACACTATAGCTAGTAAGCTTATAGTTAACATACATAGAAAAAGGTAAATTTTGCTCATAGTAGAGTTTCGCTTTGTATATATGTTCATTGTTTTAGTGCGAAGAATTTAAATATTAAATTTCAATGAAATCGGTTGATTATTTCTCTTTATATACGCCAAAATATATATTTGGCCCGTAGTAAACATTCAGTTGCTGACACATAATTTCTTCCAAAAGTTAGGAGGTTTCGCGGACGGTCGAGCGAAGCTTATATATGAAATTTCAAGTAAATCGGTTTCTTCAAAATGGCCAAAAATGTAAAACAAGCTCCCTAAAAATTGCTAAATAAGTTCCCGAGGCCTGATATATCCCAAAAGTTGATCATTCCGTGCCATGGTCGAAATAAACTTACATATAAAATTTCATCAAAATCGGTTTAGCCGAACTTGAGGTTGCTAAAAATAGTTTATTTACACTTCCCTACCATAGAGAAGTACATTTCCACCGATAACTCGATATGAAACATTTGTTGCCATCACATCACCTACCTATTAGTATACACAATACCGTCGATAAAAATTGCAGATATGTTGAGACGGTACAAAATGCTGTGTTAGATTTAAAAAGCGGGGGTGTTCCAAAAAACAAATTCCTAGTCAGATTTAGATAATTCTTTACCGCAATATATGAAGGGTAATACATGTAACGTTCCGATTGCTGAAAACTTTCCTCACATTGAAAGGAGCGCCGATTCAGATGCGCGCAAATTTTTGAAAAACACAAAAAAGCAATCATTAATATCAAAAAATTTACTTGCAACAACAATGAAAAATAAATTAACTAAAACTGCAACCAAGTAGAAATTATCTAACAGCAATGTTTTTATGACAAAAATATATGCAAGTACGGATACATATATATGATTGTTGTTATAATGTAGTACATACTAGCAAGATTAAAAAAGTTGTACTCTTAGTTCTAGTTTAGTACGAATACTTAATTTGGTACTCTAAAATTTTTTGGATTTGAATCACTAAAACTGAATGGACTACAGGAAAATTACATGTTATATTCTTTGATTAACATGTTGTAGAAAACTGGATTTACACTACACAAGCTGTTTTCTTTCGTTTTTCCTATTCATGTTATAAATATTTTTTGTATCTCCTATTCATAACATAAATTCATGTAAAAATATTTTTGTATTTCTTATTGGAATATATTTCTTATTGGATTATATATTTTTTTGGGTTTGAGGAAAAACCCCAGAAATAAAATATAATCCACAATAGGAAAACATGTTTTGAAAATTTGTCGTTAAATACTATATGCATAACATGTTATTCGAGAATAAAATCAGTAGTGTGATAGACTGTGACCTATGAAATTTTTTTATTTGTTTATTTATTTATTTATTTAATAAAATAGTAACATGTTCATTAGTTCACATATTATTTATACCATCTTTTGTAACAAAATGCATTTTTTTTCCTATATTGTATGTACATATACGGCACTGCTTCTTGCTCTTACCCTTTCTTAGTTAGTAAGTGACTTCTTGGCGATATTGTGTTTTGTAAATCTTTAAATCCTATAATCCATCTGTCGGCCATTCAACTTCAAAATGCGGCCCATCATTCTGCTTGCAAGAAATAAAGAGTCACCTAAACTTCGTCCGAGTGCGGCTCAAGCAAAATGCAATATTTGCATGGGAAAAACATCTCTCACGGCACTAATGTGCACATTTCAAGAGTAACGACCTCTTTCAAAAATTTAAGAACTCAATCATAGATAATAAATATAGGTATGTACATAAAATTCCATACAAATTCATTTTTTGTCAAAACAAAACAATCAGTAAAGTCAGTTGAAAATGTTATTTTTTCTTGTAAGTAACGCAAAAAACTCAGATGTTAAGACCCATGTATTTAAAAAACATTTAATCAAGTGTAAAATTTTTCATCTCAAAAATTTAGCGACATCTACTGAGCTTAAATGAAACATATATAACAATTAACCAATTGTTGTTATACCAGAAACAAGAAGGAGATACTGAATTGAACATTTTTTGGTTAGATGTCGCCACGTACGACGACATCAAATTTTTCAGAAACTGAAAATTAAAAAGGGACTTTATTCCTTTGGGCACAAAATAACCATAAAAACAATAAAAACTAAACGCAAAATAATTTAAAAAATGAAATATTAATATTTTGAGGATTTTAAAAAATATTTAAAGAATTTTAAAAATGAAGTTTCGTCTTTCATTTACTTCCATTTAATTTTTTAATAATTCTTCAAAAATTTGAAAATAAGTGCTTCTAGTTTCCCTCCGTCCGTTTGCACTCGTTTGCAGCACTTCTAAACCTAAAAGATGGAAAGCTAATTTCAAAATATATAAACGGATCTTTACTAGAAACTTATTTCCGTACAAGAAAAGGTTTAGATATCTCTCTCCCCTCCCTTTCTCTAAAAGTTATAACCTCTCAAAGACATAAATATTTTAACGAAACCATAAACGTTTTTAAAATTTTTCAAACCGAATATAAAAAAAATGACTGCTAAAATCAGCCGTAACCACAAGCCCGTTTTTTTTTTCAAATTTTTAATATCGGTTTCCTTCTTTAAAATAGGTCGTAGAAGTCTGAAACTTTTTTAGCTTTTAGACATTTATAAAAAATTTTTTCTCTCCAAGAGGAAAACATTTCTCTATATTTTGCTCGAAATCATGTAACGATATATCAAAAACAGCCGCTTTTATTTGCAATTTTATGAGTTCAGTTTTTGGACTATTTTTAAAGTGTATTTTTTTGTTGAACTCAATGACGCGATATTTTGCGATATCAGACAAACTCAACAAATATTCTCATTTAATACCGATACATATTGAAGTAGTTGACGGTTTGCTCAAGTCAATTGCAGCAACATTTCGTTTTATACCCTATTTATTAAAAACAATTAAGATTTAAACTGCAATAAATATTGCAGTCTTTCATTTATTAGAATAAAAATTATATTTTTTTACTAAATATAACACCGCAATATTTCCTTTTATTTTTTTATTTGACATAACTTTAAAAACAATACGTATAAAACAAAATATTTCGGTCTTTAATTTCCCATGTACATATATAGCGTAATTTTGAACTTAATTTACTCGAAACTATTAATTTCAAGATATTGCAAGATTATTCTCACGGTGCGATATGGTTTGAGTCTTTGAAAATACCAAAAGAAAATTTTTTGTCAGGGATTTTGTCCAAGTTAATTAATAAATAGTTTTTAAAAACATATCCTAGAGGTGTTGCAATTTTTGATTCAACAAGTGTGTTTTTGACATTTTTATTTTATTTCTGTACTTCATCAAGTTTCATAAATGTTTCTTGATTCTTGATTAGCTGACAAAGCACAACTTCCAATCATTTTTTACTTTAATCGGTGTTCAGTAATGTGGAAATCTATGTTTTTTCTCATAATATTGAAAAGAGATTATCAATATTAAGAAGTCAAGGTTGAGTTTCAGTTTTATAGTTTTTTTAATTGTGATTACCAAAAGTAACAACCGGCAAAAGAGAAACATGCTCCCAATTATTGTAGAAAATGAAAATGAAGTTATACAAAAATTAGCGACAGAAATTGAAAAGTACGCTAATTCTGCCATTGAAACCAATGATGTTTTTCGAATTGGATTATCAGGTAAATTTTTGTTGGCTTTAATTTACTATATATGTACTTATTTTTAAAATTTTTATTTTAGGTGGATCATTAGTTAAATATTTAACAATTGGTATTCCAGCCATTCAAACAAATTGGAAAAAATGGCGTTTGTTTTTTTGTGACGAAAGATATGTAGAAGAATCAAATCCAGAATCAACATTTGGTTTATATAAACAAAGTTTACTTTTAAAAACTGATTTAGAAGAATCGCAATTTATTAAAATTAACTTATCGCTGCCATTAGAACAATGTGCAGAAGATTATGAAAAAAAGATATTAAAAGAATTCAACTTAACAGAAAGTGAAAACATTCCAGAATTTGATTTGTTATTACTTGGGATGGGACCGGACGGACACACATGTTCATTATTTCCCGGTCATAAATTATTAAACGAATCAAAAAAACTAATAGCTGCCATCGACGATTCGCCTAAACCACCACCGAAAAGGGTAACAATGACATTTCGACTTATAAATAATGCCAAAAACTGCATATTTGCAATGTCAGGAGATGGAAAAGCTGAAATAGTTAAAGTAAGTTAAAAATTTCTTAAAAATATACATACCTACCAAATAAAAAAATGTTTAATATTAATTTTTGTGCTTTTAGAAAGTGTTTATTGAGAAGGAAAATTTGCCAGCTGGTATGGTCAATCCAAATGGTGATAATCTCATTGTTATATTAGATAAGCATGCTGGAATTCATTTTCTTTAATGAAAATAAATTTCAGCCAATATTATTTTGTTTTTGGATATGTATATTTTATCTTTGCGTTTTACTTTTTAATCTGTTTTCCTTTTGTGAAATCATGAATAATAGGGATTATTTGGTAGCATTGTTAGACTAAAAATTTGATATTTTTATAATGAAATATTTTTGTAAGATAAATTTAATGAAAATTATATGAAAGTTTTTTGTTCGAAGATTGTCATATTTTATTTACAAGTCTTGCAAATGTTGAAAAATTACATAGGGTTGCGAAAATGTAGGTTTTATTTTCGATACATAAGTTAACTAAGTAAAATATAAAGTAAATATATACACATATATCATATACATATAGTTATCTGTAGTTAATATTTTGTATTTAAAATATTTGACAACTTGCTTTAAATTAAAAACGTCCATACACAATATGTAAGTACATATGTATTTTACCTAAGAATTTAATTACCAATATGTGTGTACAAGACAACTTATATTACATTAAAGAACACACTATTATATTTTATGTAAAGAATAAATGCGATATATTATATGCAACTATATTTTTGTTACACTACATTTTGAAAAATCTTACACATGCTATATAATCATTATTTTTAATTAACAAATCTTTGATTTAAGATCACAATATTCTTAATTTTCAAATTAACATTTTAAAATGTGGGTGTCAAATGGCTTCTAAGAAAAACAAAACTTTTTGTTAAATATCAAAAATACGAAAATTTCATAAGATGTTATTCTGCATTTTTACATACTTGCAAACATAGATTTGCGTTTTTGACCTACCTTAAAAATTAATTAAGAAGAATATTAGCATCACATTATTTTTTTATAAAATTATCTCGTATTTCGTGTACAAAACTTATTTCTAATCTATTTTCTTAACTAATTCTTATAGTAAAAGTAGTTATTTCAAAAATAGGCTTAAATATATAATATCTTTATAATTTATACTTTATCCAAAAATATTTCTTTGAATACTATACAAAAAGCCTTGATTTTTAAAAATATTTTCCTCGTCTAATGCTATGAATTTATGGTATTGTTCCCTTAATATATGATCAGTTGGACCCCAATCACTTTTTGGTCTGAAAGACCCCATGAATTTATCCAGAAATGTTTCACCGGGTTGTTTAATAACAGCTACTACGATCCAAATTGGTACTTGCATAATTCCAATAGCAGAAATTGTCCAACCGAGTGCTAAAAAGAAATTAAATTTTTCGATTTAAATAAAGTTGAAATCAAATTATATATGTACTATTTTTAAAAACTACTTACCATAAGCCCATTCCGGGTATTTGATATCTTTATATTCAATTGGTGAATAGGATGCAAAAGTATATATTAAAATAGCTAGCATTATTGCTGGTGTTAGAAAGCCCCAACAAATTCTCCAATAAAGTCCAGGATTTTTTCCAATCATAAATTCTGTATCTTTGCAAAGCCTGTCAACACCATAAACCCAACCTAATACTATAAGTTCCATGATACCCAAAACTAAACATATCATGGATGCACCAAAATAATCAACTAAATTCAAAATGAATTGCCCTCCCTAAAGTAAAAATCGGAAAATCAAAAGTTAACGTAATACTCTACATTTTGTTTATTATACGTACCGGTGTTAAATATACTAATCCACAACAGAAGCTAACTACTGCAATTAATAAAGCGCATTTCCATGTTTTAAATGTTGGATATCTGTCGCGTATAGCTGTCATTGTGCAAGATGTCATAGCTATATTGCTTCCAACACCAAGTACAAATAACATTGCAAAAAATAAAACCGAAAAAGCTTGGGGTAAATATTCAAATTTGGCAATTGCATCGGGATAAGAAATAAAAGCTAATCCAGCTCCCCCTTTTACAACACTTCCAATATCGTCAGTATTAATTTCGTGTGCCAGATGACCAAGAATTCCAAAAATCGTAAATCCGGCTAAAAGAGATGTAAATGTATCTAGAAGTGTAACTATAGTGGCGTCCCTGCAATTTAATCGTAAAATTTTATTTAATTAATTAGAGATAGCAGTTTTTAATGAAAAATAAGATTACAAGCTCATTTCAAACTTACCTATAGACATTATGACCAAATTTATTATAAGAAGCATACATGATTATGTTACCAAAGCAGACAGATAACGAAAAAAACACCTGTGTAACAGCTGAATACCATACCTGTTGAGTGATATTAACTAGATTAACAATTCATATACAGTGCAAAAACATGTCATATTTTCATCATATTTTCATCATATCACCTTTGGATTTAACAATTGATCCCACTGCGGTTTAATAAAGTATAACATTCCAGCTCCAGATCCTGGCAAAGTTACAGCTCTTATTAATAAAATTAAAAGAACTATGTATGGAAAAATAGCTAAAAAGTATGATGCTTTCCCAGAACTTTTAACTCCTCTTACAATAACAACATAAATCAATATCCACGAAACTAATAAACCAATTACTAGTTGCCAATTTGGTAAACCAATACCATTATTAATATTATCATACTCATGTAAAACTTCTTTCCTATTGGAAATAAGAAATAAATAATAATTAAAATGAAAATGTGTATATCAAAAAACATTTTTTATGTTTAAATTAACACACATACCAGTTCTAATTTTCACCAATTAAAATATCAAATACCATACCAATTTGTTAATAATTTAATTAGCTAAACTTACTGATAATATAATTCAGAACTTGTAAATATGCGATTTTCGTTAAATGAATTTGAAACTGAATAAACTGAAATTAAAAAATCAGTTTTAATATCATCATCATTTACGACTGAAGAATTTAAACATGGTTCTTTCCAATTTATATTGCATTTAGCCCATGGTAATGGATCCATGAATGATTGCACAAAATAATGTAAAATTATACCTAATAATGATTTTTTTAATGATATTATTTTTAATTTTCTAATTTGAAATTTATTTTAACAGCCAATATTTATTCTTACTCATTAATGACGCATAATATGTTGATAAAAGAAATACACCAAATAGTTGACCAACACCAACACCTTTTTTTTAGTTTTTGATTAATTTTTAATGTTATATTATTAAAAATTTAAAAAAAAATGTAAGTAAATAAAAAAAAGAGAAGTTAATTTTCAATTTTAATAAAATCACAATAAAAAATAATACAAATAATGAATGTGAAACAAAAATAAGTACATACAGCCAAATTTTATAATTTACGTAGATTTCTAGGCATTCTTCAAATTTGTAAAACTTTATGGTTTTTGCAATATTTTTGTAAAAATTCTTTTTGTTTTTTATTTTTTTCTTCTGCATAATTAGTTAGTATGTAATAATTAGTTTCTAAAATATTTTTGACTACATTTCTCAAATGTTTACTGCATTCACAAATAAGAAATTTTGAAATTTTAATTCAAATTAAAAGTAAATATTTTCTTAATTCCTTCAACATTTTTATTCAAAGGTTAGCTACGCTCTTTAAGAGACTTTTTCGAAAAAAGATCCCGCAAAACATCATTTACTAATAAATAAAAGATACATATTATATTTTTATACAGTTACAAACTGTAAGCTTTTGAAATATAATAGCTCCATATAAAGATTTTATGGCATTGAATTGAAATATGTACATATTGTAAAAAACATTATTTAAATGTTAAATGATATTTTCGTTGATATTTAATTGTTTTTGCAATTTCCGATTAATATTGAGTAAGCGATCTTTTATTATTTGTTTTCTTTATACTAATAATTTCTATAACATACAATTGATCAAAATCTGTTGCAATATTTTAGATAAATTGAATCATAAAAGCCACAGTGATAAAATTTATTTTTTTTAAATAAAAATTAAATAAAGCAATTTAAACAAAAATAAAACGAATTTACCGCATATTTTTTTATTCGCGTACGTTTTAAAATATGATTTAATTGCTGTCAGTTATTAATAGAGCAATTTAACGCTAAATTATTATTACGCTTAAATAGTACTTACAATAAAAATTAAAGTTTCTTTATTTATGATTTTTGTTAGTTCAATTACGTAAGAATTCATTGTTTTTTTTTGTTTTGATGAACAATAATTGAAAAAGTATTTTATAAGAAAATTTTTACATATTCAAAAAAATTCAATTACCGAAGGTTTTCTTTCACCTTGTTATTATAATGAAAATAATAATTAGCTTTTAGAAAAGTATAGAATTTTAGATAAACCTTATTTGATTAAGATACAAGAAAAATAAAAACAAGAAAACAATAATCGGCACAACAATACTTTATTGTTGAAATTTCTGAAATAAACTTACAAAAAGTACAATTCAGCTGATGATACTAATTTTGTGCTATTATCAGTAAAACTTGAACTTGTATTCTTCTCTAACGATGGAATACACGGTGTATTCCAATGATCCTGGCAGACGCTCCATGGTAAAATTGTTTCAAATGAGGCAAGAAAATATTTAAGTGTTATACCCATTAAAGCTACATAATAGGTTGTTACTATAGATATTGAAATAACCTGACCAATTCCAACTCCTAAATGAGGGATATTTTTGGTGATGTAAATAATTTTTAATAAGAATGTATGTACGTAAATAGGTGTATGAAAATGTAAGCTTCTGCAAAAGGTGTAGATCTAATAACAAATTGACTTATAAATTTTATTTGCAAAATAAATCAAATTGACATTAGATCTTCATCTAGTTGCTTATGCTCTATTTATAATCTAATATATACCAAATTTACCTCTCATAGCAGGACATAAATCATAAACTTTAGCAGCACCCCGACTTGAGAATTGTCCAATTATCATTTCCATATAATAAATTGGTTTTCCTACTATGAATAATACAATCAAGTATGGTATTAAAAACGCACCACCACCATTTTCTAACGCAGTAAATGGAAAACGCCACACATTTCCTAAGCCAACTGACATTGCTATACATGACAACAAAAATTCAATTTCTTTTCCCCACAAATCACGTTCTAAATGTTTCGGTTTCTCGGGCAACTAAAAGACAAAAAAAGAAATTCAATGATTAATACTTTAAAATAAAGTTACACGAGAAAATTGCAAACAAAAAATTTAGGATAATTTTTTATAAAACAATCAGACAAATTTAAAAATCATTGTAAGATTTTTATATTGGCTCTCTGTATATTTTTACGTAACACTTCGTTTAATATAACTACACAAATTTCCTTTTGAGTTTTTATTGAAAAATTATTTTTGAAATTATTTAAAATTACTTACATTTTCTGTACTATTTGATGAATGTGCGGATTCTGTTACAGTTTGCACAGTGTTATTCCCTGTATACCGTATGGGTACAGGTGAGACTTCTTTATATCTTCTTTCTAAACCTTCATCATCTATGTACGCCCTATTTTCATGAGGTGTCATTGTTATTATGTTTTTTACTGGAATGTGGAAAGAATTAACTTCTGTCAAAAAAAAATTTGAGTTAAATAAAAGTTAATAAGAATGTAAATTAACATTACCAAATGAAAATTTGCAAATTCAAAACAAAATTCACGTATATTTGGAATTCGTGAAAATTAGTGGAAAATTATCTTAACACTATTGAAAAGTTTAAAACTTAATATGAAATGGACATATTATTTGCAATTTTCACCCAGACGTATTTTCTTAGTCACATCACTAGCGGTGACGGTTTTTTCCAAAGTATGTGTTACCTACATACGTTACATGCACGTGTAGGTTTTCATTATAAAATTGCAAAATTGAAAATTAATTTTATTCTGGAAAAAACGAAATTCTTGAATAACAGCCTATCGTCTCAATTTTTCTAAAACAATATGGGTAATTAGTTTAAATGGGCTAATTACGATTATCTCCTTTCGTTACGTTAAAATTGTAGGATTATTATTCTTGTGTTATATTAATGTGGAATATGGTAAAATGAAGATTTGAAAGGAAATAATTAACAATTATTGATAAAATGAAAAATTGTAAATATAATTTAATTTATTTAATTCATTTATTGAATAATGTAATTTGAAAACAAAATAGCAGATATTGAAATGAAAATTGTTGTAAGGATTGATCACGTTATCAAACATAAAGTAAACGTGCACGTAAGGGGTTTCTCCAGACGTTATTATATATCAATAATCGAGCCGAAGGTAAATTTCTTGAAACTTTACTTGTTTGCAGCAAATTATATTTAACATAATTTAATTATGTACGAATGAATGAATTATAAAATTTTAAATGTTTCGTATTATTATAAAGGTAGAAGCTAATTGTGACAAATTTAAATTTTTGAAACATTGTTACCTAAAGTACTCGTATGTATATAAATTTTGTTTCTTTTTTTTCACTAGTTATGAGCCCAAGTATACCCAAGGGTGCCTCGTATCAAAGTGCACTGCATTATACTATTGTTTAGGAACTCATCAGTAGACTAACTTTTCACAGCTTAACCATTTCGGAGTAACAGGGGCTTAAATTCAATTTTGATTGATATTTTTACTTTTTGAAACATTAAGCGTATAACTCCGTAATTAATCAAAACAAGGCTTAAATACTTATTTAAAATACTTATAAATTCGGTAAAAATGATTGTTATTTGGCCTTTCAACCAGAGAGACCTCTAAGGAATCGCAATAAAAAATAAATGAATATTATTTTAAAAATTGAATAATAATTTAGAAATTTGAAAATTAAAAACTTTATCATGCAATTTCGATTTCCAAAAAAAAAAAAAACGGCAAGGACTCAATTATGAACATCAATTGCAAACAAATTGACTCATCTTTTATAAGTCTATTTATAAATAAAGTTGGGTCAAACCAATGGTTTGTATTGTAGAACTTGCCTTTTTAACAAGTGAAAATACCTTTTTAAAAAAAAATCTATGTATACATACCAAACTTTTAAAATTATTTCCATTCATAAACGAAACTATTTCTAGGATTGCATATAATTAGCATGAACAATTTATGCAGTCTTTGAAAAAAAGCAAAAATTAATTTAAAGAGCGGTTAACATAATGCTCGATTTTAAGGGTTACCGTTAGCTTCTTGCGTTTATAGAAATTTGAAAAACCTTACGGTTTCGGAAATATAAGGCGCCGAAAATTCAAATTTTACAAATTTCAAGAGGCGATAAGTTGAGAGGAGGTGGAGATGGAAAAAATTTTCTTCTAACGAAATAAACTATTTATTACTATCTAAAAGCTGCAAAAATTTCAGGCTCCTACAACCTGGGGTTTTCTACAATCTAAAATTTTGGATTTTAGATAACGGTAAATTTTAACGGCCATTTTTTTTTCTTAAACTTTAGCTATAGTATACCGCGCTAGGAGAAGCAAGCCACTGCGTTTCTGCGTTTGCAAAATTTTAAAAATGCTTATGGTTACACTGCAACAAATAGTAAAAAAATGGAATTTTTAGGTTTTTGGGGGTATAACTTCTAGAGAGGTGATGATAGGTAAAAATTTTTTTTTATGGAAATAAGTTTCTAGTAAAGATCTATATACATATTAAATTTCAGCTTTCTATTTGAAGGGTGTAGAAGTTTTGTAAACATGTCCACGGACATGACGGACAGAGTGAAACCAATAAGCACTTTTTTTCAAAAATTTTTTAGAAGAGTGCAAAAAAATGGAGTCGATTAAGTTCGAAATTTTGTAAACTTGGATTTTACGAGTATTTGAGTAAAATAATTGTTTTCCAGCTTCGAAAAAATTTTGCGTTTAACAAAACCAGTTTTTTTAAATTGCTAAATGACATTGAACTGTACATAAAGAAACCACCTTGATTAACACTGACATTTACCATTAACTAATTTTTGCAAAAATGTTCTGCTAAAATTTCGAAAATATGCGGTTTTTTATGGCATTAAAACTTATTAAAATTTAAATTAAAATAGTTTGAGAGTTCAGGGCAAAATCAAAAATACAAATGTCTTTGTAAAGTGTAAAAGTCAAAATGCAGAGTCGCAAACTTGCTTTTATTATTAAATATTATTTAATTTATTTAATTTTTTACTAAATATTATTACTATTATTTAATTTGCACTCGGTTATAAATATTTTTAAGTCGCAGATGTGTTGTTATTCTTCCCAATGCGCGAAATGTCACTTTGATAGAATAACCAATTGTAAAATTGAATTGATTTGACAGATGAAATAGATTTAAGTTGATCGACCTCCGTAATTCAGAAGTCAATTTTCTTTTAACTTTTCAAAAACTGAATATAATTTATATTAGTTTTATCATTAAAGTTATAATTAAACTAGTTTTGCTTAAAACTGATAATTCTATAGTTTAGACTTTTTTTTGTCTTTATTTAAATTTTTTTACATTATCTCTCCATGTTCCTTAAGAATCTTGTTCATATGAAAATTGTACATCTCTTAACTTTGTTATACTCATAACTTGGTATACTCATAACTTTGTTAATATACACATTTCGTAGTACATATTTATTTTTTTCATTAAATTCATTAAATTCTCAGTGTTCATTAAATTCTCGACCATACATATACAAGTGAAACTATACATATTATGTATATATGTATATACAATAATTTCTCGAGTTTATTACAAAATTGCATACGGTAAAAACTCTCAAACTCTTAATTTATGTTATAAAGGAAAAGATTCGTTTAATGCACAAAAAATTTGAACAAAGAACATAAGAACGTGTTATGCATTGTGCACTTACTAACTTTAATGAATTTTTATTGAAATCTTTACTTTCTTTTGTCAAAAATTTTCGATTAATTATCTTTGAAGTTTTGAAATTTTTAATTCTTAGAATCCAACTTAAATTAAGTAATCTTCAAAATTCATTCCATATAATTTTATGATAGTTTAAGAAAATCACGTAATCGTAATAGCACATGATGTAATTTTGGTTAAATACGCTTTATATAAAACCGATCGTCTAGACTAATTTGATCACTTTACTGTTCAAAAATGTTACATACATACATACATATATATCTACATGAATACTTAATATGTAATGTACTTGTACATAATATGTATGCACTAAATAAAAAAAATCTGATGTGGTCAGCACATAACCGACCGCATTGTGTATTGTCTAGTTAAATGAAAGTTTTACAGAATATTATAAAAATGTCTGTTAAATACTTCTTTCCAATTTTTAGGACATTAGTAAGCATATAGTTAACATACTTAGAAAAATGTAAATTTGGCTCTTAGTAGAGTTTCGCTTTGTGCTACCCGAATTCCCTGAAATGCTCGCCAGTTAGTTTCGGTAACAACCAGAACTCAAATATCAAATTTCAAGAAATTCCATCAATTTGTTCTGTGGATATGGTGAAAAATGTAAAATCGGCCCGCAAATCAGTTCTCGAGCCCTGATCTTTCCAAAAAATTTATATGTTCATTGTTTTAATACGAGGAATTCAAATATTAAGTTTCAATGAAATCGGTTGATTATTTCTCTTTATATACACAAAAATGTATATTTGGCCCGTAGTAAACGCCCAGTTGCTGATGCCTGATTTCTTCCAAAAGTTAGGAATTTTTGCGTATGATCGAGCAAAGCTTATATATGAAATTTCAAGTAAATCGGTTGAATAATTTCTTCAAAATGGTGGAAAATGTAAAATCGGCCCGCAAATCCGTTTTCGAGCCCTGATCTTTAAAAAAATTTATATGTTCATTGTTTTAATACGAGGAGTTCATATATTAAATTTCAATGAAATCGGTCGATTATTTCTCTTTATATACATAAAAATGTATATTTGGCCCGTAGTAAACGTCTAGTTGCCGATGCCTGATTTTTTCCAAAACATACCAATTTTTGCTGACGGTCGAGCTGAGCTTATATATAAAATTTCAAGTAAATTGGTTAAATATTTTCTTCAAAATGTTCAAAAATGTAAAACAGGCCCGCTAAAAAGTGCAGTTCCCGAGGCCTGATATATACCAAAAGTTGATCGATCCGTGCCATGGTGGAAACAAACTTACATACAAAATTTCATCAAAATCGGTTCAGCCGAACTTGAGATACACGCGTGCACACACAGACCGACAGACCGACAGACCGACAGACGGACAGACGGACAGACCGACAGACCGACAGGTTGCTAAAAATAGTTTATTTACACTTCCCTACTATGGAGAAGTACGTTCCCACCGAAAACTCGATATGCAAAATTTGTTGCCATCACATTACCTACCTATTGTTTACACAATACGGTCGGTAAAAATGATAGATGCACCTGATAAAAAAAAAAAAAAAAAAAAATCAAAAAAATATATTATATATACATACATATTTTACTAGAGTTGAACAAAATGTTTGAATAAATTGGTTGTGACAACCAAACTTTGTTATATATTTAATTCCCAAATTTGATCAAATGAATTTTAATGATTAAACAATTTCGGTTATTTTTTCAAATACGTATGTACATTAATTCAAAAGTTAAGTAATT